GTTTGTGGGGCAGTGTGTGTACGGGGGGCAGTGTGTGTATGGGGGGCAGTGTGTGTATGGGGGGCAGTGTGTGTGTATGGGGACAGTGTTTGTGGGGCAGTGTGAGCATGGGGGTCAGTGTGTGTATGTGGGGGCAGTGTGTGTATGGGGACAGTGTGTGTGGGGCAGTGTATGTAATGGGTGGGCAGTTTGTGTAATGGGGGGCAGTTTGTGTAATGGGGGGCAGTGTGTGTAATGGGGGGGGGAGGAGGCTTTTAAATAATAAAAAAAAAAGTTTATTTAATCAAAATAAATATTCTATGTCCCCCTTCTTACCTTTACTGGGGTGGAGGGGGGACATTTCTTGGTGCCTGGTGGTCCGGTGGGGATTCATTGGTGGTCCCAGTGGGGAGAGTGATCTCTAGCCCGCGCTCCAGGGCTAGAGTTCACTCTCGCGAGATTTGGAGCGTTGCCGTGGTAACCGCGTCAACGCTCCAAATCTCGAGAGAGGAGGACCTGGAGGAGCTACAGACTGAGCTCCGGGTCCTCCCTCTCACTCCCTCCCTCCGCCGCCGGCTGTCAGCACGGTGCCTGCGGATCGGGGAGGGAGATCTCGGATCTTCCTCCCCGGTCCGCAGGCACATTGCAGGGCTGGCACTTTGGCAATGCCAGCCCTGCATTAGCCGGCAGGGGGGAATCTCGGGGGGGGCAATTGCCCCATTGCCCCCCCCCTGGATCCGCCAATGGATCCAGCTGATTGTGCATTGATTAAGCCCGACTTTTATCTCTGTGGGCACTCAATTCTGAAAATATGTGCTTTCCAAAATCCCTTAGGATTGGAATAAGGCCATCTTTAATATTTAAGTGTACTCTCTAAACAGTGACAGCCAAATGGCACTCTTTTGGCTAAGTCTTCGACTGTTTTTTCCAGCTAGGCTATTTGTCAAATTTTTTTTTTTTTAATTTTTAATAAATCCCTGTTGAGTGAATATACCCAACAGCAATTTTATAATTATGCCTTAACACAGAAAAATAAATAAAAAAATAACCACTGTGCAAGACATAACATTGGATTTTATAGCACATCAGACATTTACATGCATGCAAAACATTGTATCTTCATTATAGATTCCTCTTAAGGGGTCGTCGTCATGATATTTCTACTGCCTAATTAATTTGCTCGTAAATGTTGTCACGCAGTTTTCAGGTCTATATAAATGTCAGTTTGCTTGATAGTTGGCTTTGTTACAACTTGTTTTATACTATTTTTGTGATAAAAAAAAAAAAAAAAAGATTTAACCACTTTTCTGTGAAGAATGCATAAATTAATTTGGATTTAATCAGAAATCAGAGATGTACTGTATATCGTTATCTCTCTCAATGCATTAAAATTCTTGGTACAACACTGAAGAAGTCCACAAACACTAAGTGTTCTTCCATGCCTGAAAACATATTTAAAGGGTTACTCCACCCTTCATGAACACTTATGCTTTTACAAGTTGTCATAGTGGTAGGAATCAGTAGATGCAGGATTTCTGCTTGAAACACCGCACAAATTGAGATACCTGCACTTTTGTGCCCAGAACTCCCTTCCAGGCCACCTACATTTAAATTTGTGCCAAAAGTACACTGCGCACACTGCTTGCTGACGACCAATGTAATAGGCTTCTACTCTTGCAGGCAGTGCTGGGAAGTCACCTGCTATGTGAAGCTAGTATGTACCCTCCCTCCATTTCTCAAACACTCTCTCTTAAACCCCTTCCTGCTTTCTGATTTGTCCTTTTTTTTTTTTTAACAATACCCTCCTCCTGTCTACCACACACTCCCTCCTTTTTGTGGTTTCATGAAAAACATTTGATTGAATTCCATCGAGGAAAGCAGTGAGTATGGACAGGGCGTGAGGAGAACTTTTACTGGGGCAGGATTCCAAGTAAAAAAGTTTATTTAAAAAGGATTGGAGTAACCTTTTAAAGAAATATGGACATTACACCATTGAATAAAGCATTGCAAATCACCTGTAACCTGACACTGCTATTCATAAGGATAATCATGAATTCGGGTAATAAATTCAAGACCTTAAGGCTGACTGGGAATTCTGTGAAATATACACAAACATTTTAGGGTTCTAGTTAGGTGGTACCACACTATCACCATTTACATGTGTAGAGATATTGATGTAACACTACATCCATGTTTTAATTACCATTTGACTGTGAAGTTTCCTTTAATGAAATGACAGGTTACAAATGCAAGTCGCGCTTCTTGTTATGTAGGTTTTTTGTTCTAAATGCTATTGTTTGAAAAGGATTTGTGAGAAATGGGTCAGTCAACTGAAAGCAATAAAGTCAGCGGCAAGATGTCTTCTCGATATCCCATCTGGAAAAGGTTTTTCCAATCCTCTCTCTGACATCTGCTTAGTGCCAGAAAT